CTGATCAGCTTGCCATTACCTTCTTAATACTTAATGGATGAATCAATTAATGAAACTCACATTTATTGAGTACCAACTGTGTGCAAGTTACTGTGATTGGGGCTGGGAATGTATTGATAAGACACTTTTCTGTCTTGAAGGCGCTGATGAGGCCGGCACGATACACAGTACAACATAGGGCCTGCGAGGATAGAGGTCTCCACAGCTTGCTGTGGAAGCATGTAGGGTTGATAATCCATGCTGGGGACATCTGCATTCCTGGAGGAGGAGATAATGTGAGCTGAAGTTTGAGAGCTGAGACGGTGTCACCCAGGTGAACTAGGAGAATGGGAGTTTTAGCAAAGGGAGTAATAAGGGAAGGCATGGAATAAGCTGGCTGGAGGACTGTGTGCCAAAAGGGGTGAGAAAAACTAGGCTGGATGGGTGGGCAAGGGCCAGATCCTGAGTGGCCTTGAAGGTTTGGACCTGTGTTTTAGTGGGATCTCTGGCTGTGGGATGGAGTACAGTCAGAAGGACAGGCATGGCAGCAGAGGTGCCTATGTTGTCTGTTTCTGTTGCTTATAACAAAATACCTGAAACTGGATAATTTATAAAGAAAATATTTATTGCTTACAGTTTTAGAGGCTGGGAAGCCCAAAGTCCTGGGAACCCATCTGGTGAGGGCCTTGCCTTGTTCTTGGTGACTCTACACAGCAACACAGGGTCTCACATAGTGGATGGCGGAGCTAGAGAGAGGGATAACCTCATTCACTGTCCTTATAAAGCCATCAGAACCATGCCCATGACCACCATTAAACCATGAATGGATTGATTCACTCACTAGGGCATGGTCCTCACAATCTAGTCATCCCTTCAAGGCCCCATCTTTCACTTACCGTAAAAGGATTTCCCTTACTCTTAACAATGTCACAGTGGGGATTAAATCTCAAAGGGCTTTGGGGGGACATGCAATCCACAGCAGTGCCCATGAAGAGTTTTTCAGTAACCCATGTGCAAAATGGAGCATGGGCAGTGGGGATGCAGCGAGAGCAGGATTCAGAGACTCTGGGCATGGTGAGTGCTGGAGAATGATGGAGAGGCAGGACGGATGAAACCCAGACTCAGTACTGGCAATTGCGTGGACCACAGTGCCACTGCCTTGAGATCAGGGATATCACAGGAGCATGGGCAAGTGAGATGCCGGTGAAGGGACGTCCGATGGAGACAGCAGAACTAGTGGAACCAGGAATGGGATGTAGATCTCTCTGGCTCCAAAGCTAATGCTCTTTTCTCTAAATTACATAAGTGAGTGTTATGTTCTCATTCAAACCAAGAGGGAGAGAGAGCTGTAAGAAGTGCCTAACAGTAGCCAGTGTTGCAGGACAGAATTCTTTTAAATCTGACTATTAGGAGGTCATTAATGATGTCAGCAGGATCTGTTTCATTGGAATCCAGGGGGCAGGTTGTAGGAGACAGAGGTGACAACGTGGGAGCAGTAAGTCAGTGAATGTGGATTCCTCTTCTGCAAGTGTGGCTTGGAAGACAAGGAGTAAGAGATGGCCATGGAGGAGTGAGAGGGTTGGGGAAGGGTCTTTTAAAGTGAGAAGAGGGCCGGCCCCGTGGCTCACTCGGGAGAGTGCGGCACTGGTAGTGCCGTGGCCATGGGTTCGGATCCTATATGGGGTTGACCGGTGCACTCACTGGCTGAGCGTGGTGCAGATGGCACTGAGCCAGGGGTTGTGATCCCCTTACCAGTAAAAAAAATAATAATAATGAAATAAAAAAATAAATAAGTGAGAAGAGCTTGAGCATGTTTCTGTGCTGAGGAAAAGGAGCTACATAGAGAAGCTGGAGATAAGTGCTATAGAGGGACGATCCCCTGGAGAAGGGTGGCCTGGAGAGCATTTGTTTGTGGACTCACCTTTTATAGGAGGACACTCCTCCCACTGACTGTGTAAAGAAAGAGCCAAGTAAAGATGTGATTGCTGCTAAGTTTATGGGGTGTACTTGCCTGATGGCTTCAGTGTTTGTTGTGACCTACCAGACTGCTGAGGAAGGGGCTGGGGCAGGGGACTTGAGGAAGTNGTGCAGTTTGAAGCAGGTGAGGTAGGGGACAGAAGAGAGAGCTGCTTAGGGACCATGGAAGGATTTGTGGGCAGCTGAGCTCGGGCGCCATGCACTTGCCGAGGCACTGGCCGGCAGGGTTGTGTTATTTTCTCCACCAGTGCTCAGGGCCCGGGTGCGGCAGTGGAGAATTCACGTCTGGGTTTATTTAGGGCTGGACTTTTGCTGCAGAGCAGGGGAAGGGGTATAGCTCAGTATTAGAGGTCAAGAGAGTTGAGGTTGTTGGAAAGAAATTAGTTCCAGTGATAGGTCACGGCTGTGAGCTGGTAGGGATGTAAGTGGGCTAGGAGGTGGCTGGCAGATTGGGAGGAAATGGAGGGTTGGAGAATCAGAAAT